CATTGGTGGTTGAGTGGATTGGAGGTACCGGTAATTTCCATTTCCTCTTATCCATACTAGAGTTGTATTAGGGCCACCACTAGCTTCACAAGTAAAGGTAGGGGAAGAATTTCTGGAGACTATTAGAGTATCAGGCATAGCATTCAAACTACCATATGGAGATACTAGAGAAAGAGAAAGAGAAATTAATTGACAAATCCATTTACAAATGGTATATATCAAAGCCTCATTTCTCTGTTACCATTCTTAATAAACTATTCTCTATATAAGGCCATGGATACACAAATAGGCATACCACGTGTATACACATTCTAACTGAGACATGTTCCAAACACTTACACAGAATGTACATGTAACAACAACTAGAGGTCTTATCACTTCTTACCCATTAAAGAACACGACCACAAATGTACATGTACATATACACAAGTCCCACTACATACGTGAAGCTTAATCCTATTATGAATACATGTCTGTATCCTTATAATAATTAAACAGATGTATCTACATAGAATGTATGAGTTTAGAGGCACTCATGTGTTTAATTTTATTACCAAATTGTACCAGTACATGCTACACTATGTACTTAATATACTATGTACATGCTACACTTAGTAATTCATTTGTACTAAATGTACAAGTACTGAGTCTAGTGGGGCTTCTATACTTACATGTAATTCTATTACTAATGTACATATACATGCACCTACTACACTACACACACACACACACACAAAACCTCATATCACATACAATATAAAGTATAGCACACTTTACATTCCAAATTGACAACAGCTTTTCATCAAACAGTCAATATGTTGAAGCCTTTGAACCCCTTAACATAAACAATCCTAGCTCTCATATTGAAACTGGTTCAATACAAAACTCACAGGTCTATATGCACAACAGCTCTTATACCACCTGCCACAATAATAATCTTATAATCATATATGGGATGCTACATGTGTTGCATTATAGGGGGAATGTTGTAGATAAAAGAAGTGTTTTGTTATTGTGATACTGGGTTAGTTGAGGTGTCATTTCATGCTTCATATTGTACTATATAAACAGAATACATAGAAACTGCTGCTATTAATGAACCCACCACTCAATAACGTGTCTCAACGCTCACCAGCATTCCTTATCTACACACATCTTGTTTGCCTAAGGGTTTCTCGACCATGCATCCATGTAGCTTAAATAACAAAACTTAGCAGTTCAAATAACACTGGGAGTTATTACAACTACTGTCACCGACACCTGCTACAGGCTACTCTATCTCCTCATAATTGGTCTACTTTATAATCTATTTTATCTTCTATCTCTAATTTAAACACAGGCTTTGTTCTATATCTGAGATAGGCTTCTATTTCCTTAATACATGTATCCAACAGGCTTCAAGCTTATATTTGAGAAAGAATTTTATTTTATAAATAACCTCTAAAGCCATACAACCTAAAAGAAAATCCTATACTAACTGCAATGAAAAAATCTACAGCTAATCATGCATCGTCTTCTGGCCATTAACAAGGTCTCTATAAATAAAGTCTATTTATACTTGGCATGCGTGGAATGCATTACGTAAAAGGTGTGTTAATCTTTTCGTGACATTATTAATAGAGGTATGGAGCATGTGACTTCCAATAAAGGATACTGATAATTTGATTGGCATTGGCTAGGGTCACGTTTGTTTGGATTGAGAAATAAAACATATATCTCTTTCAATGAAAGTCATTCGTGCTATGTGTATAAATCATACATATAAATATATACACACATACATACATACATACATACATACATGTACATGTACATACATATTCCTAACCTGTTACAAGTGCTCCTCTTGATACTGCTGTCTCAGTGATACCCTCAGAGCTTGCAACACAGCGATACATACCAAACTCATCAAAATCAACATTATTGAATCTCAAATCGGAGGAAATCTCGCCTGATATTTCCTCAAAATTGCCACTAGTACGATTCATCCTCTCCCACTGGTACGTCGGCGATGGAAAAGCATCTGCTAAACATGAAAGTGTAAAATATTCACCTTGCGTTACTAATCGATCTTGTGGATGTAATGTTATGATAGGAGCCACATACAGTGTGGTCTCAACTGCAACAAAACCAGCTTCGTTGATAACTACACACGAGTAGTTGCTCCCATCCATTGTAGCGTTGATATACTCTAGTGTAAGTTCAGTACCATTCTCTATTATAAGAGGACCAGCTAAATCAAGGAAACCATCAACATCTATTGGGATCATTGCTGCAAGGCTCATTAGTTCAGTCTCGTTGGCCATTGATCCAGTGGCATTAGAACGAGTCCAGACAAAAGTGTTGTTAGGTCCACCTCTAGCAGAGCAAGTGAATGTAACTGTACTACCATTTGTTGCTATGGTGAATGCTGGATCAATTTCAACACTACCTTCAGGAGATACTGTAGAGAGAGAGGGTGAAAGAGAGGAAAAAATAAAGAGTATATAGAAAGAAAGAGAGAGAGAGAGAAGAATTGAGAGTAAGGGAATGAGTCAGGTAGAAATAGAAAAAAGGGAGGAATATGAAAAACAACACACAAGCAGTAAATAAATAAACAAGAAAGAAGGAAAACAAGAAGAATTTAAAACACTAAACATATTTACCTGTTAACACGGCCTCGTCAGAAATCGCAGACCCATTTATCGTAGGAGCTGTAGCAACACACCTATACCTTCCATTGTCTTCATACTCTACCTCATTAAACATCAAGAATCGCTCTGATTCATTGGAGATTGGGTAAAACTCATTTAAAGTTTCATTAAATCTTTCCCAGCGATATTGAGGGCTAGGAAATGAATCGGCCAAGCACTCAAATGAAACGTCACCTTCTCCATCTTGAGTGTAAATATTGCTAGGATTTGTTAGTATCTCTGGCCGCACTCGCAATTCAACTGCATCACTTTCAATCCCTGCTTCATTAAGAACCACACAAGTGTATATACCACCATTACTTCCATTAACAGAGGTAAATGTTAAAATAGGGCCAGACTCTATTACTGTAAATAATTCAAGTGTTCTCAAAACGTTAATAGGAGGAGGTCGAAAGCTAAGTGACGAGTTATTTTCCCCTTTTATCCACACTATTGTGTTATTGGGTCCACCTTGAGCAGTGCAATTGAATGAAGCATTCTCATTTCTGGAAACTATTAGTGGATTACTAGGGGTAATAACTACTACACCGCCTCGTGGAGAAACTGTAAAAAAGAATAAAAATACTTGACATTAAGTACAGTAGGTTTAATGTGCATAAGTGTACATTTTAATGTGATATAGATTTAGCATGTACATGTACTACAATATAAAGTGAAGGTAATACCTAAAGTTTCAAGGCAATAAACTTTCACAAATCAGGCCACAAGTCTTTTTTTGTGAATTAACTTTCGCGGTTCTTATTTTAAAATACATGTGTTTATATGGTGATACGGATAATTTTACGGAATTAACTTTTGCAAATATGGAAAATCCGCGAAAACAGCGAAAATTGTGCTCTTAAAACTAAGCGGCTATACAGTATGTCCTACTCAATTTAGCCCTTATAAATTCCATATACAGATACTGCCTATCAAGTATTTGTATACATACATAATTATACTGATAACAAAATTTGATAATGACAAACATAATAATAACAAAAATATTGTCAATAATAAGAAAGAGAAAGGACAGCAAATATTAAAGACAAAGGACAGGAAAAGAGACAGGGTTCACTGACGTCGTAGGCATAAAAAGTTAAAAACATTATAACAAAAAGAAACAGTCATGGCTGATTGATTGTTAGCTTATTCTAAAAAACAACAACTCATTCATTTGCTATTGTTACTTTGTAACTATCACTTTCAGTCACATACACAAAAGACACATAATAATGCCATACACTAAACAGATAGACCTTCACTTTGTGTGTCTATACAGAGAGCATTGGTAGCATTTTGCACATTGCATAGAATTACTATCAGACACTCAGAAAGGAAATGAGATTATGATACAGAAACCATTGATGTACAATAAGCCAGTGAGTATAGAGAGAGGGAGGGATGGGAGACTTGTAATATTATAGCATACACATGTAGGCATAACAAGTGTAGGAGAGATATATAGAGAGAGAAGTACTTGTAGAATGACTCAGTATTTTACAGAATTCTACTCATTAACATATATAGGCCTAAGTTTAAATAGAGGTAGCTATAAATTTAAAATTCACATCCAGGCACTATGCTAAATATAGATATGCTACAGTTATGGTGAAGTATTTTTAGAGCTTGACTCCTCCAGATACTATACACTAACAAGATAAACTGACAGCTATAACAAGGCTAATGGAATGCAGTCCAGCATCCTTGTATGTGTGTGTGCATATAAGTGCTAAATAACAGGGCCACTACTACCAAGAGAGAGAGAGAGAGAGAGAGAGGCAATATATAACTTAATAGCATCACACGGGGAGGGTTAAAACAAAGTTGGAAGAGACATTAGTCAAGGAATTTGAAGCTAAAAGAGGGGAATAGTGTATAGGATGTACAGAAAAATGTATGTAAACACAAGTACGATAAGGACATTAACAGAGCTTTATCATATCAATACTTTTGGCAGTCATACTGATCAAGGATGCCAGAGCTCGCATACAGTCAATACTAAGTACTGTGACATGCTTCGGACAAGGCATGAAAAACAAAAACAAATTGATACGTATACAGATACGGGTATATCCATAACAATAATACCCTCTTTTCTTTCCCTTGCCTCTCTCCCTCTATAAGCCTCTGCAAGATATGTCTCTTCCTCTTGTAGTAAGAGGCATTCCTTACTATGGATCATTAGCTGTCCACTACAGCATTAACAGTTATGTACTATACCAACAACAGGCCATACTTTATTACTACAATCAAATAGTGTAACTAGACTCGCTTGTTAGCATACTACACTCACCAGTGACTGTTGAGATATTAGATGCAACAAGAGTCTCCATTTCTCCCATTAGACTATCATTGGACTGCATTGCAATACAGGCATAGTGGCCAAAGTCATTGTATTCAATTGAATCAAAGGTCAATATTGATGAGCTATCGGTGTCACTATCAGTGGAAAAACTGATCATACTGTCATCGTCAATAGTTTCCGGTGCATCGGAATCATACAGATCTAGTATCATTGATTCGTTTAGGTCGTTTGATGGTAGTCTGACCCATGTTATATTAGGAGCAGGAAATCCAGTGGCATTACAGGTTAATGTAAGATTAGCATCCCCAATAGTAGCTAGAATAGACTCAGGTGAGGGCGAGGGTGAAGGTTCAGAATAAAAAGAAGGTTCAAAAAAGATGTATATCAGATCAGACATCAATGTTCGACCACTTTGGCGGGTTGCGTTACAAAAATATCCACCACCGTCCATGGTGTCAGAAGGAAAATCATAAGATATGTTAAGAGTCTGATTGTTATCTTCAAAATCAGGATCATCCACATTAAACCAACTGTAACTAACATTAACTTCATCTGGTTGCAATGAACAACTGAGCGTGATCTCATCTTCAAATTGAAGGACTTGCGTGTCACTTGGAGTAATGACTACACTTTGTGATGTGCCTGTGTAAAAGAGAGTGGAAAAATTAGAGTATGATACTGTAAAAGTTAAGACTGAGTGTTATAATGAGGAGGAAATCACAGAAAAATGAGTCAAAACATTGGAACATAATTAAAGCGATTAATCACAATTATGATGCTAGTTAACTAATAAAGACAGACTTAACAACCAGGAAAAAAATGAAAATTCCCTATCTGTACTGACAGCAGATCTAATGTATGCATGCATGTAGCCTGGAAAGAGTATGGGAATCAAAATACTTGGTAATCCTGACACTATTTAGCCTGAAGCAGACAGTGTAACCTATATATACAGGCTGTCTATATTGTACATGCACGTTAATTTAGTCTACATGCATAAATGCATGAATTTTAGGATTCATTCTTTTGCTCTAAGATTTAGGCTAGGACTTACATCCGTGGAACTGTAGAGCCGCTAAAAGTAGAAGCTGGAAGAGCACTAGTTGGACTCTACTGCACGAATTAGCCTGAGCCCTCATGGCCCTGTCCTTCCCTTCGCTGCAGTGTACAGATACAAAGAGAAAGAGAGAGCGGGTAGACGGGAGCAGAATGAGAGCGAAGAGACTGTGACAGGCAAATGGATGAACGACAGGAAGTGAGAGGAGGCTGGGAATGTATGACGTAATGAATAGCTAATCCAAATTTAGTGTTCAGACCTTATACAGTTATAAAAATTAATGCACCTTTTTAAAACTCAGTATAATTTGTTAGACATTAATATGTTTGCATTGCAAATTTTGAACTTATTAATTATATAGGTCCATGTCTTTTATATCTAATTCCCACACAAGACTGACCATCATGACATGCAAGCTGGCAGGCAAAATGCTTTGCGACACTGCAGGATTTGAAGCAAACATGTTTTCAAAGAAATGCTTCAAAAAAACAAGCTAGCAATATCTTGTAAACAATACTTGTGTACATAGCAGTATACTGGAAAGTGAAAGGAAAATTGAATTGAGCCAATTTTTATTCACAAAAAATACTTCAGTGAAGCCATAGCTAGTTTGATCATCACATGCAGATGATGTGTATGTGCACTGAATGGAATTTCCTCTAAAATATAATTATTATGCTTGCATATTTGAAGAGCAATTGATCACATATGTTATTTTTATTTTCGAAAACCCTAGCAAAATTCCTCACTATAAACGACATTACATGCATTCATAATGTTTTAATTAAAAACAGTCCTAAAGATATATTATAGTCTAACTAATAAAACAAGACAAAAAAATCAGCAATAAAATATATAATTATGAAGGCGTATAACACTGAGTGCAGTCATTACACTTCAACATCAATTCTTCCTACAAGTCTGTCTCTTCATCAACAAGACTCTTTTTATCAGAAAATCCTTCAGAGTTTCCTTCACTGCTTGTCTCTTCGAGAGACTGGGGCCTAGCAAAAGCAACTCCTTCAATCTTTCCAAGTTTCAAAGCCTCAACAAGAGCATCATGAATGAAAATATACTCAATCTATGTTAAGAGTGGGGGCAAAAAATTAATAGAAAAGCCATTGCATCAATTCACAAAACAAGAGGATTACTCAGGCTGCAAATTTTTAAATCTTAAATGAGTATACTTACTTCATTCATAACCATCATAGGACGGCATTTCCTCATGTACTGCACATTATTAAAAATATCAACCAATTTCTCTGACTTGATGCGAGCCATCTCAACCATAATAGCAATGA